GACGAGAAGGAGGCGGTGCGCCAAAAGGGAAGGGGGCCTCCTGCTGGGGCCTCGGGTGGAGCGCCCCAGGGAGCCGCGAGCCGTGTGATGGGGTGCGCCAAGAGGAGAGGGGTGGCGGCATGCGGGCGTTGCCACTGGGGCCTTCGGTGGAGCTCCCTATTTTTTCCCCAGAAAGGCATTCGGGTGACTTACATGTTTTTGTGCTATTTTTCAAAAACATAAAAAGTGGCTTACGATCTGCGTGGGGGGAGACGCATGCGATCTGGGTGGGGGAGACGCATGGGTGGGGGAGACGCATGCGATCTGCGCCATTGTGACCTTGGGTGGAGCTCCCTATGGGGCCACGAAACGAACGAGGGGTGTGCCAAGATGAGGGGGGGGGGGCGGCATGCGGGCGCAGGCACTGGGGCCTTAGGTGTAGCTCCCAATGGGGCCACGAAACGTGTGAGGGGCGTACCGAGGTGAGGGGGGTGACGGGAGGAGGAGGAGGAGGAGGAGGAGAAGGAGAAGGAGGATGAGGAGGAGGAGGAGGAGGGAGGAGAGGAGGTGGGAGACGCGGGGCGCTGTCTCTTCAAAACGAGGGCCCCAACACCACAGGATAGTTGGGCGGGGGGAAGAATTGGAAGGCCAACCCTCACGGGCGGGTCGGGCAGGCGGACTCAACCGGGCAGACCCTGATGGGCGGGTCAGGGAGGCGGGACACTAAAGCGAGCGCGCGGGCATCCAAGAAAGCGAAGGGGCGGATCCGAACGGGCGAGTCAGGCGGGCGGGCCCCAATGGGCGGGTCGGGCGGGCGGACCCTAGCCTAACGGGCTGGTCGGGCGAGTGGGCCCTGACGGGCGGACGGGGCATGAGAGCGAACTTCGAAACTGGCGCGGAAGCCTCCAGCGAGAGCACGATTCTTCAGCAAAGTGTGAGAAAGTCTCATGCGAGAGCGCGATTCCTCACGTCGAGAGAGCGCAACGCCTAAGCAAAGTGTGGAGAAGACCCGGCCGACAGCGCGATCCCTTCGCAGGATGCACGGACGTCTCAAGAGAACGCGCGGTTCTTTATCAACTGCGAGGAAAAATCCGGCGGCAGCCGTCGTTGTGGCAGTCGGGTGCCAGGAACGCAGTTTGCATACGAAGACTTCCCCTGATCAAAAATGCGGGCCCCGAGGGGGGCACTTCAATTGAAAAGCAATGCGCGCTGGACAGGGGGATTGACAGTAGTCCCACTAGCCCTTTAGGCTAAAGTGGTATAACAGTTACTTGTTATCCTCTTCCGAAAACCTCTTCCCTGCGGAGCGGTGTACCCCCCCCCCCTCTTTGGGTCTGGCCTCCCTGGGTCTGGGCGGGAGGGGGTTCGAGCGGTTAGGGCGCCCAAGAAGGACCAAGATGGCCCAACGAGGGCCTCCGATGCTCCAAGATGGCCTCCGAGGCGGCCCAAAAGAGCCGACGATGGCTCAAGGTAGCTTGCGACATACCTCCAGGAGGCCCGACGAGGGCCACGAGACTGTTCCAGGTGCTCTCGGAGCCCCCATCAGGACCCCCCAAGAGGCCCAAACCACTTAAAACCCGAAGGCAAATCAATGATGCTTGCCATCTCGCCTTCTCGCTGCGCTGTCGAGGCCTCAAGACGACCCCAGGATGGCCCAAGAGAGCACCAAGAAGGGCCCAAGAGGTCCCCAAAGCGGCCCCAAAAGCGCCCAAGATCAGCCCAAGAGCATCCCAAGAGCATCCCAAGGGGGCCCCACGATACGATCTTGATAGCCCCAGGGGGAGGGGGGGGGACCAAACGTTAGGACCCCCCCTCTTGATCCATGGCCCTCAGGATGACCTAAAGAGCTCCAAGAATACCCCACGATCCCCCAAGAGAGTCCCAAGAGGGCTCCAAGAGGCGATGTTGAGGGCTCTGTCCTCGTCCTCATTGTCCTTCTCCCCCTCCTACTCCTCCTCCTCCTCCTCCTCCTCCTCCTCCTCCAACTCCTCCTCCTCCTCCTCCTTCTCCTCCTCCTCCTCTTCCTCCTCCTCCTCCTCCTCCTCCTCCTCCTCCTCCCCATCGTCCTCGTCGTCGTCCTCCTCCTTCTCCGCCTCCTCCTCCTCATCCTCCTCCGCTTCCTCCTTCCCGCGCCCCCACGCGAGCCTCAGGAATCGCCCGGAGAGGCCATACAAGGCCAACCCCTTGCTCCCAGAGATCTCTCTGCGCACCCTGGTTGCCCGCCTTGCTTCACTATACGTGTGGCTTCAGTTGCATTTTCTGTCAGCTTTCAGGGGCAGGGTTTTCGGACGGGCTGGTACGGGCTGGTAAGGATACGCAAAGCGTGCCTATATAGAATCATCCGAACTGGGAACTCAGCAACAACGCCACCACCACAACCACCACCGTAAACGTATACGCCATCATGAACAGCACGCTCAGCATCGCCACCACTGCCATCGTAACCACCATATCCTCCTCCTCCTCTTCATCATCATCAGCAGCAGCAGTAGCATCATCATCATCATCATCATCATCATCATCATCATCATCATCATCATCATCATCATCATCATCATCATCATCATAATCATCATCATCATCATCATCATCATCATCCGCTGCAGCAGCATCATCATCAGCATCATCATCATCAGCATCAGCAGCAGCATCATCATCATCATCCTCATCCTCAGCCTCATCCTCATCATCATCAGCATCATCATCATCATCAGCATCATCATCACAAGCATCATCATCATCATCGTTATCATCATCGTTGTCATCGTCATCATCATCATCATCATCATCATCATCATCCTCATCATCATCATCATCCGCAGCAGCATCATCATCAGCATCATCATCAGCATCATCATCAGCATCATCATGATCATCATCATCATCATAATCATCAGCAGCATCAGCCTCATCCTCATCATCATCCGCAGCAGCAGCATCATCATCATCACAAGCATCATCATCATCATCATCATCATCATCATCGTCATCATCATCATCGTTGTCATCATCATCACCATCAACAACCACATCACCATACTCTTCTTACTTATCCTCAGCATCATCATCATCGTCATGCTCATCCTCATCATCACCAGCATCATCGCCAACAGCATCATCATCATCATCGTGGACATCATCATCAACAACATCACCATACTCTCCTTATTCGTCGTCATCATCATCATCATCATCATCGTCATGCTCCTCCTCATCATCACCAGCAGCATCACCATCATCATCATGATCAGCATCATCAGCATCATCGTATGCATCATCACTACCATCATCATCGTCATCATCGCCATAATGATCGTCATCCTCACCATCATCATGATAGCAGCAGCATCAGCATCAGCATTAGCATTAGCATCAGCCTCATCATCACCCGCGGCAACAATATCATCATCATCACAGAACAGATCCTGATCGTCGGCATATTCATCATTACTACCATGATCCAGTACCATCATCAGCATCATCATAATAATCCTCAGCTTCACCATCATCATCAGCAGCATCATCGTCGTCGACGGCATTATCATGAACATCAGCATCGTAGTAATCAGCATCTTCATTACAATCATGATCATCACCATCGTCATCACCATCATCATCATAGCCATCATCATGATCGTCGTCGCTATCATTTTCAGCATCAGCATCACAAACATATACATACGCATGATCATCGTCATCAGCATCGTCATCAGCATCGTCCTCATCATCAGCATCACCATCATCATCGACATCCTCATCATCATCAGCATCATCAGCATCTTCTTTTCATTCATCATCATCATCATCATCATCGTCATCATCATCATCATCAGGACCATCATCATCATCATCATCATCATCATCAGCATCGCCATCATCATCAACAACATCATCACCATCATCGCGATCATCAGAATCACGATCATCATGATCATGAGCATCATCATCATCATCATCATCATCATCATCAGTATCATCATCGTTATCATAATCAAAAACATCACCATACTCTTTTTACTCATCATCAGCATTATCATCGTCATGCTCATCCTCATCATCACCAGCATCATCGCCAACATCAGCATCATCAGCATCATCAACAACATCAGTATCACCATCATCACGATCATCATCATCATCATCATCACCACCACCACGCGCGAGCGTCGGAAAATTCTTCGCCGCCTCTTCCTGTTCTGCCCTGCCCCGTTTCGGGCACGTTACGACGCTCCCCTGGAAAGCGTTCGGCCGCAGCCCCCCGCAAAAGCAGCAGATCTTCCAGAGTGGTGGACTTCCGAACCCGCCGAGCTCTCAGGAAGGAGTCACCAAATGAGGCCCCAACAGGAGTTCGCAACCTCGAGAGATCTGCGCGCCGGAGTCTACATGTCCGAAGTCCTTTCAAGAAGCCCTCGGCCTAACAAGGGAACCCGCCTACGACCTCCACTGTGCCACTGGGCCGTGAGTCATACTTCTTGACGGCAACGCGATCCGATAAAGAAAGCTTGATCAAGCTTGGACCCCCGGAGCTTGTCACTTGCAGCGCGAGGGGGCTCGGCTCACTCTGCGCGGCGAGGCCCTGATGGCGGCAGCTACAGCACATTCTGCAGAATCGATGGCAGACCTGACTATTGCATACCTCCGCACGTTGATGCGCGCTTCGCGGTCTGTCGGGCGAGAGCGGAGGAAGGAAGGAGCGCAAGGAGGCGGAGGAAGAGAAGAGACGGGAGGGGGGACGGAACTTGGCCTGCCTGCCGGCTGCGCCTGCGTCGCGGCGGCGGCCTCTCACGCTCAAGCTGGCTTGCTGTTGGAATTAAGGTCTGCGACGTCAGCCGCTGCATGGAAGAAATCAAAGGAACGAGGAGGAATGGGAGGCGGGCGGGAGGGGGAGGAGGAGGAGGAGGAGGAGGAGGAGGAGGAGGAGGAGGAGCAGAACGAGAAGGAAGCGGAGGAAAAGGAGCAAGAGGAGGAGGAAGAAAGCCACCCTCATCTCGCTGCGCTCCTTGCTCCCTTCTGCCGCAGGCCTGAGCATTGATCCCCTGGGCCGCCAGGTCGATGACTGGCGCCAGGGTGACCGGCATCTCCGCCATCGCGCCTGCCCCGGACGCTGCCACCGAGCAGAGACGGCACAGCGCAGAGGGGTTTTAGCGGAAGGGGTGTGGAGGAGGAGTAGGAGGAGGAGGAGGAGGAGGAGGAGGAGCAGGAAGACAGGGGGAGGAGGAGGAGCAGGAAGAGCAGGAGCACGAGCAAGTACACGAGAAGGACGAGGGCGGGGACCAGGAGAAGGAGGGTGTCGGCATGCCCAAGAAGCGGAACCAAACGCCACATGGCGTGGGCACACTTCCACACACACACACACTTGACAGCACCACGGGCCCGCGTGCACAAGAAGGGTGACAGGCCCAAGCTGGGACCAACCTCCACCCCGCTATTCCTGGCTAGCCTCCGATAGCACCGGCAAAGCCTGGGTAGATTAGGACGAATGGAAAAGCAGGGGCGCTGGTGAGGAAGCATCGGTGAATGGGAAGCGACGAACAGGGGCGAAGTTCCACAACTTAACCATTTAGCGAAGGACATCATCTATCATAGCCGAATATAATTACCAAATCTTGATATCCGATCGGTAAGTTCAAAAGTATGTCCGAACTGTCTGCTATCTGAAACCCATCAGGTAGGGTTATCTTACCCAGCAAGAAGTACCAATCAAAGAGTGAAAGAACACGTGCGCAGGCCAAATATCCAAAGCATGTCCGTACTATAATGAAGCTGAATCAACGCGACCTTTCCCAAACGCATAATTTATTCAACGGGTGAACTTCACACCCTCAAAAACCATATGCTATTACCCACCCGCCCATGTCGTCCCAAGTCACCAAGGACTAGGTAGATGAGGATGATGGGGGAAGCAGGTGCGCTTGTCAGGATCCATTGGTGAAGAGAAAAAACAGCTAGCAAGAGTGAAGTCCCACCACTTACCCAATTCTGGATACTCGATCGAACAAATATAGGATGTCCGATCTGTCAAATTTTCTCATACCCATGTAGTAACAGTATCCCAAGTCAAGAAGTACAGCTCGTAGAGTAAACGGGTACGAGCGCAAACCAACTATCACGATCAAATCCACTGTATATGATAACTGCATCAGCGCGCCAGTTCCCAAGCTCCTAATATGCTATATGGGTGAACTTCCCGACCAGTACAACAATTTCCCATAACCCGCCCGCCCCCGCTGTCCAACTCAGCTAATACCAAGTATATTACATAGCAGGGGCGGGGGGAAAAAGAGAGACTGAGCTTCAGACGAAAGTCTTGAGTCTGTCTCTACTACTCGTCCTTCTAGCACCCACAAAACCTTACTAAAATCACTCTGCCCCTCAGGCCCCTTCGGGCCTTCAGCCCTCCAACCGCCCCTAGTTGCTCTGAAACTAGCTCTGGCACCCGGAGTGTAGGGGCAACTACCTTTCCTAGGGGACCGCAGGGTCTCTGGTGCACCCAGTGCCCCAACAGTCTAATCCCAGCAGTACGCCCCTGGCCAATGCGCTCGCCAACCTCCACACCCAGGCCCCCATCGGTCCGCGCCCTAGGCACCGTTCGCCCCTTCGGATTCCGGCAGCGCAGGTGATGCCGCGCAGGTGATTCCGACAAGCAATCTTTAGACATATTGCGGAACTGGTCTCCTGTTGCACAGTCAAAAATATCATTAAGAAAATTATGAAATAAGAAAGCTGGGCCAGCTTTTTCAGCAGTTTCTTAAGGAAACGCTGGGCCAGCTTTGGGGGCCAGGAACGTACATGATTCATTTCTAGCAACCAAGGCCACCAATCTTAAGAAACTGAGCCAGCTTTGTGGCAAGTTGGTTAAGAAACGCTGGGCCAGCTCTTCGGGGGGAGGTTTCTTAATCATAAGCGGGACCGTATACAGCACCGCACCGTCGGTGCAGGGAAAGACCTTGAGCGAGTGCTTTCGCTGCCCAATCTCGAGAGCGGAAGCGAGCAGCTCACCAGAACAGATTTCGATCGGAGGCTTCTGCTCACAACGCGGGCTCTTGAGACAGCGCTGGCATCGCCAAAGCGAGCGGCACCAAATCCACTCGTGACAGCACCCTGTCGCACTCGTAGCGTTCTGACGAGGATGAGGAACGTTGTCCAGGTCCATACTCGGCCAAAGCGGTATGAGGCGGGCAAAGCACAAACGTTTCGAGCTGTCGCCACGCGATCGTCGATCTCCTGCAAATCTGCTGGAGCTGCGCAAGGGTGGCTCCAAGCGCCTCGCTTGGCTGCTTCATCCGCCCGATCACTACCAATATCTATTTTATATATATATATATAAATAAATAAATAGATAAATAAATAAATAAATAAATAAGCATTCCAGGTGCCGTCGTCCACAACAGGAGCCTTGACCTTACACACACACACACACACACACACACTATTAGAGCACAGTCTACGGGAAATGTTTACAGCAGACAGTTTCTGATAAGAGACCTATGAGGGCACTGGGGGATGGAAAGCCGAGACCACGCTGGAGCAATTTGAGTAGCCCGTAGAGGTCCCACAGAAGAGCTCGCTGGTGGCCCCCAACCCGCAAAACTCTCCAGCCTGAGACGCTTGGGGGAGAAAACTGGGCACTGGCCCCAAAAAACGTGCACATGGGCTGACGCTGATCGTTGTACACCGCCGCCTCCCAGCCTGCCCGAGACATTTCCACCACTGGACTCGTAAGCCCTGACCCGTCGAAGAAACTGTGGCCTTCGATGTTCGTCGAGGTGTTTGAAGGATCCTCGACCCACTGCACGACCATACCTCCCTCAGAACCAGGACCTGGCACAGACTCGCCTGGATGCTGAAAGAGACCCTTGGTGAACAGGTTCCAATCCTGACTATCTGACGTGATCGCAGAGGCTCTTGCGATCAGCCTAATCGTCGACAGTATCTGATCTTTGCTCGCTAATTGACTGGCCGCACCACAGCCGATGGTGTATGGTGTCTTCGCCTGCGACACAGAGAAGACATGGGGTGTCGTCGAGCATGTAGCCCGACTTCACAGCTTGGGTCCTAGCCCAGCAAACTCCACGCACCAAACTGCGAGGACGAGGACGAGGACGAAGAGAAGGGGAGGGAGGAGGAGGAGGAGGAGGAGGAATGAAAATGGAGGGGAGGGGGAGGAGAAAGGGCTCAGAACGAGGAGGGAGGAGGCCAGGGCGCCGAGGGAAAGGAAGCAAAGGACGGGGCCCGCGGGCGGAAGACTCCCCAGACTCGACTCTGCCAGACCCCAGTCTGGCGGTGCAGCGGGCAGGGAGAGCGCCCAATGGGCAAGGAAGGGAACACGAGAGAAGAGAAACGGGGGGAAGAAGAAGAAGAAGAAGAAGAAGAAGAAACATAAACATTATATATATACATATATATATATATGTATACCAAAAAAACAAAAACAACAACAAAAAAGGGGGAGGAGGGGGGGAGGGGGAAGGGGCGCGGGGATAGGGGGGTGGGGAAGGGAGGACGGCGGGGAGGGGGGCAGGGGGGGAAGGAGGAGAAGGAAGGGAGGAGGAGGGAGGAGGGAGGAGGGAGGGGAGACGGCGGAGGGGAAGCGGGAGGAGAAGAGAGGAAGGCAAGGAGATGGAGGCGGAGGACGGGGAAGCCGGGCGGGGGGAGGGGAGCGGCGGCCCCCTCTGCTGGCCCACCCCGCCTGGCCCCGCCGGGGGTGGCAGCCGGTGAGCGGGCCCGCTCGGGAGAGACGGAGGCGGGAGCCCACCGCTGCACTCAGGGCTCGGCGGAAGCAACAGGCCCAGATCTCCGAGGGTCTGCTCTGTTCCTATCCTGTCGGCTTTCCTCGAGTGCTGCCCCGGGGGCCCCTGCGACCATCGAAAGTGGATCTGGAACGAAAAGCTGCCCCGAGGACGCGCACTGAAGGGCACGCACATACTCGGATGCCGGGGGGGGTGGGGGGGATACCCCAGGGGCGGGCGCATGGGCATGGGCGATCGTGTCCCCTGGCTTGGATATATGTACTGCTCTCCCCCAGTATCCGCCCTTGCTGCAGCCGCCGAGCGAGTCCAGAGCTGCCAGAGGTGTCCCTGGCCAAAGGTGAGGGAGGGAGGGAAGCAGGCGAGGGAGGAGCGCCTCCTCCTCCTCCTCCTCCGCATCAGCATCCGCATCATCATCATCATCATCATCATCATCATCATCATCATCATCATCATCATCACATCATCATCATCATCATCATCATCATCATCATCATCATCATCATCATCATCATCATCATCATCATTCATCATCATAATCATCATCATCATCAGCAGCAGCAGCAGCAGCATCATGATCATAGAGGGTGCGCCGCTGGATAAACCCCAAGGGGGGGGGGGACCCCCCTCCCTTTCCTCGATCCGTCGTCGGGGAACCCCCCCCCCCTTCCCCCCTTCCCCGATCCGTCGTCGAGGACCCCCCCCCCCTTCCCCCCTTTCAAAAGGGGGGGGGTCCGAACCCCCCCTCCCCCCCCCTTTTTCCCCCCCCACCCCCCCCCCGCCCCCCCCCCTTTTACCACGCCGCCCCCTGACTCCGGAACCCGACCCCCGCCACCCCTACCCCTAGTCCTCACCCTAACCCCACCCCTAATCCTAACCCCAACCACTAACCCCAGCCCCAAAGAGCACCCACTACTCATCACTCACTACCTACTACTGACTACTCGCTATTCGCTACTCCCTTCTCGCTACCCCTACTCACTACTCACGACTCACTACTCACTATCCATTACTCACTACCCACCACCCACTACTCGCTACTCACTACTCCCTACTCACTACTGCCACCTCCCTACTCACTACTCACTACTCACTCCTCACTACCCACTACTCAATACTCACTACTCACTAGGCACTACTCACTACTCACTACTCACTAATCACTACTCATTACCCACTACCCACTATCCACTACTCACTACTCACTACTCACTATTCATTGCCCACACATCACTACACACTACCCACTATTCGCTACTCGCAACTCCCTACTCCCTACACAATACTGACTACACAGTACTCACTACTCACTACTCGCTACTCCCATACTTGCTACTCAATACTCACTACTCACTCCCCGCTACTCACTACTCACTACTCACTATTCACTCCTCCCTACTCACTAGTCACTACATCGTCTCTAGTCACTAGTCACAACTCACTAGTCACTAGCCACTAGTCACTACCCACTACCCACTACTCACTACTCACTAATCGCTACTCACTACCCCCTATTCGCTAGCCACTTCTTCCTACGCACTGATCACTACTCCCTACTCCCTACTACCTACTCACTACTCACTACTCACTACTCACTACTCACTACTCACTACTCGCTACTCCCTACTCGCTACTCACTAATCACTATCCACTACTCACTACTGACTAACCTCTACGCACTACTCACTACTCACTACGCCCTACTCGCTCCTCACTACTCACTACTCGCGACTCCCTATTCGCTACTCACTACTCACTACCCACTCCCACTACCCACTACTCTCTATTCATCACTTTTCACTACTCACTACTCACTACGCACTACGTACTACTCAGTATTCACCACTCAATACTCTCTACTCACTACTCACTACTCGCTACTCACTACTCACTACTCACTACTCACTACTCACTACTAACTATTCACTAGTCACTACTCACTACTCACTACGCACTACGCACTACCCACTACTCACTACTCACTAATCACTACTCGCCACCCACTACTCACTACCCACTACTCACTACTCACTACTCATTACTCTCTACTCCCTACTCAGTACTCACTACTCGCTACTCGCTACTCACTACTCACTACTCGCCACTCACTACTCACTTATCAGTACACACTACTCAGTATTCACTACTCACTACTCCCCACTCCATACTCCCTACTCCCTACTTGCCACTCACTACCCACTACTCACTACCCAATACTCACTCCTCACTACGCATTAACTCAATATTCACTACCCACCACTCCCTACTCCCAACTCCGCACTCCCTACACACCTTCTCCGGCGCAGAAAGTAAAAGCGAGAGAGGCCCCCCCTCCCCGCAAAGGGGGGGAGGGGGGGGGGTCCGAACCCGCCCCCTTTCCAGCGCCAAGGGGGGGAGGGGGGGGGGTCCGGAACCCCCCCCCCCTTCCCGGGAGGGCGGGAGGGGGAGGGGGGGGGAAACCCCCCCTCCCCCCCCTTAAGGCCCCTGAAGGGGGGGAGGGGGGGGCTTCTGGACCCCCCCCCCCTTGAAGGGGAGGGGGGGGGGGTTCTGCCCCCCCCCCTTTTTGTGTATTCAGGGAGATCTACTGGCGCACTTTCATAATCATAAGCAGCAGCGGCATCATCATCAGCATCATCATCAGCAGCAGCATCATAATCAGCATCAGCGTGAGCATCACCATCCGCATCAGCATCGTCATCATTATCATCATCCTTATCATCGTCATCATCATCATCATCATCATCATCCTCATCATCCTCATCAGCATCATCATCATCATCATCATCATCATCATCATCATCATCATCATCATCATCATCATCATCACCATCATCAGTATCATCATCATCATCATCGGCAGCAGTAGCAGCAACAACTACAGCGACACCAGCAACATGAATAGTAGCAACAAAAACCGCATCAACAACAATAACAACAACAACAACAACAACAACAACAACAACAACAACAACAACAACAACAACAACAACAACAACAGCAACACTACCAACAACAACATCAGCATCAACGTCAACCTCAACATCATCATCAGCAGCAGCATCATCATCAGCAGCAGCATCATCATCGTCATCATCATCATCAGCATCATCATCATCATCATCCATCCATCCATCCATCCATCCATCCATCCATCCATCCATCCATCCATCCATCCCTTCACCCTGCACAGCTCCTCCCTGCCGCACCCGCGGACACGTCGGTAGGGCGGGCTGGGCGTTCCGCCGGAGACTCTCACCATTTATGGTCCTGGAGCTTGAGATTTGCAGCAGCTCCAAAGATCGAGGGCTCTCAAAATGTGGTCATCGCCTTCGCCCCGCACGCAGTCGTCACAGGAGTCTGCGACAGCTTCAGGGACGCAGGGCGAGCCCTTTTCAAAGTGCGGCTCTCGACTCTGCGCCGCGCACATCGGTTTTCAAAGTTCGCATGTCCTTCAGGTGCTCGAAAGATTGAAGTCCAAAGGATCGTGTTCTGGCACGACCTGGGATTGTGAGGTGCTTCGCGGTGCTGGCTTCCCCAGGCTCTTCTGCACGATTGACGCATCTCCCGTGCTTGTCTTTCCACGGGGCACCTCCCGCAAACTCGCCGGCCCTACGGGCCAGAGGCGTGCTAAGATCTCCAGTAACTGGATAACAATATTCTACTTCGCGCGCGCGGGGCGGCCCCGGCAGGTCCGGGTCAGAGATGCCGGACTGGGCAATTGTTCGACACCCCTCACGACGATCGTGGCCTCCGAGGGGGGAGCCGCAATCGACTACCCCCCCTCCCGCCCCAAGAGGCCCCCAAGAGCCCCCCAAGAGGCCCTGGGGGCCCCCAAGACGCCGCCAAGGAGCCCCAAGAGACTCCCAAGAGGTCCCCAAGAGGCCCCCGAGAGGTCCCAAGACGTCCCCAAGAGGCCCCCAATAGGCCCTAAAGAGGGCTCGAGGGCCGGCGGAATGAGCGAAGCGATTAAATAACATCCCTTCCTGTATGGGGCCTGTGAAGGAGGAACTTGGAAGGAGAGGCTATTGAAACATCGTTGACGCGTATTGGGTTCGTACTGGTCCTCCTCCCCTTCCTCCTCCTCATCCCTCCTCTTCCATTCATTCCCCATCCCTCCTCCTCCTCCTCCTCCTCCTCCTCCTCCTCCTCCTCCTCCTCCTCCATTCACCCCTCCTCCCCCTTTTGTTCATCCATTCATCCCTCCCCCTCCTCCTCCTCCTCCTCCTCCTCCTCCTCCTCCTCCATC